GAATACATAGGTACTTAAAAGATTTAAAACTAAAAACGTGGGGTGCATGCAATAGATAATAATAGTGTAATATGTAAAGATAATTGTAAATCAGCATGCACCCCACAAATTATTTTTTACTTCATAGGCCTAGTGCGTTTAAAAACGTTGCATTTTTAAAAAGTACTAATTTATAATTTATAATAGTAGTGATTTAATATTATGTACATATCTGATATCTTCAGGGGTAAAAAGCAGTTTTGTATTCTTTGAAGACATTACGACCAGAACAAGTCTATAAACAAAACAAATCGCTCAGCGACTGCGACTCTGACTCCCCTCAGAGCAGACCCGCTACAGTCGCTGTGTTCAGCCGCTAGCCGCTCCAGTCGCGTCAAGGACAATGGTCCCATTTGAAACAACGCTAAACAGTGCTCAGCTACTATCGCTGAGCTACAATGGCTCAGCTACTATCGCAAGAGTCGCTTCAGAGACAATGTACCTTAATAATACTGTACAGTGGAGTGGACTCAATTATACAGGGGAGGAGACAGTTGAAACTGACGTGCCCTCATACTTGTCACATGATAAAAGTCTAATGCAAAATATATAAGCCAACAATGTTAATACTGTAAAAATAGCCAAACTATAGACACTTTGGGATAATTACTGTAAACAAAACACAAGATGCCAAGACTTTATAGGCCTACCTTTTAAATCTTTTGATCTTTAGACATGTGATGAATGGTCTCAAATCTATCCTACAAGACAAGTTGTCTCAGTACAGCCCACCTGCCGATCCAGTGTGGTTAAACCGTACTGATAAAAATTGTCTGGTTTAAGAAATATATCTGTTGAGTGCAGTCTGATTACTAGGTGTTCAGGTAAAAAGGAGTCTACTGCATAATGGTTTTTCATAAAAATGTTTTTTATTGTTTATCATTATGATTGCTCATGTACTGTATAAGCTAAAAAATACCCCCGCCGCAGCAAACCTGCCGACTAAGTGAATTTCCATTTGCCTGAATTGATTTTCAATTATATGTATTTAATTAACATTATCTTTAATGAGTACCTAGGCTTGCTGCTACAAGGAGGGTAAAAAAGTGTGTTTTTTTAGTAAAATATTAATAACTTTGTATTAAATAAATAAATTTACCAAGTTTGGTCAAAATATATCCATAAACAAGCAAACTACAACATTTTACAATATTCTCCATAAGAATGACATGGGAATTTAAAAATAATTTTTTTTTATTTTCTCCGTAACCAATAATTGTACATAAACACTTTGATATACTAAATCATTTGTTTTTTTAAGCTCTTTAAAAATATCTGGAGAGAAATTGGGAAATTTTGTGTTTAGAGGGTCAAAAATTAGAAAAACCCATTTTCACCCCATAACCCCCCCCCCCCCCCCCCCCCCCGTAAACCTCATTCCCATGGTCCGATCATGATGCTGGTTCGCGAACTTATTTAAGTTTATCCCGCCTTACACCTTCAAACCAAATTTCATCAAAATCGGACAAAAATTAACTTACTCAAGTTATCATGTTCACGGACATATATATACATACCCTAAATCTATATACAGGGCCGGATCTACAAAATATGGGCCCCCCTGCAAAAATCCTCCAAGGGCCCTTAGAGCTGGCATCAATAGCAGGGAGGCCTTATTTGCGGGAGGGGGGGGGGAATGTTTAAAATGTATGTAGCTGAAACTGAATTTTAACGCTATTTTAAAGATAAAATATTGATCCTGTTTGTAAAAAAACATTTTCGTTAAAATGCGGAATTTTGTAAAATTATGTACTAAAAAAAAAACAGCAAACTTCAAATAAAGCTTTTTTATTCTAATGTCAATAGGATTTCTTAGCCTTTCAAATAGGTTTACAAATTATAAAATACATATTGTACAAAAAAAGTAAAAGGTTTTACATAAACAATTTCAAGAATAAATAATAATGTATAATAATAAACAAACGACTCAATTTAAACTTAGTTTCTTTTTACACTACTCGTATATTTTCAAGATAGGTAGGCCTACATACAAATCATGGTTCCAGAGGGTGGGGCAGAGGGGCCAAAGCCCCGGGGCCCTGCCTGGGCTCTGAAGGGGGCCCAGCCTGGTCAAATGTGAATTGTGAAATATTTTCTGTACATGTAATCTGCTAAAATCAAAGATTTTAGCATGGTTTTTCAGTTCACATATTAATTTTTGAGTGGAATAAAGTTGCAACTAGGAGCAAGAGAATTAATCAAACTATTATGCGTTTTAGATATATTGTTAAATGTTTAACAAAACGGCACGGAGGCGGCTAGACACTAAATCGGGAAAATAGGGGGCCGGAGATCACTCAGCTCAGAGGCCCGTGACGGCTCTCTCTGGCCCTGAGGTCGTTAGATAACGCTACAGAGGTTATTATAAGTCCCGCCTGTACTACAGACTTATTGCTCAGCTCAACTGATAGTTGACTAAGTTGACACTACGTCCACGTCGATCGGACTGTAGTGGATCTGTGAAGCGTGCACTGCAGCTGACGAGCTGACTGGACTGAGCTGAGCATACAGACTGGACTGACTGAAAGTGACAGTAAACCACAGATTAAACTGTCTACGGCGAGGTCCCGAGTTGTTGACGAGTAAAATCAGTAGGTCTAAATTTACTCAATAATTGTAACTTTAGCTTTGATATTGACAATATTTGTCTGTCAAAACTAAACTTACCGTCCTATTCAATTATGTTTATATGTATTAAAATAATTTTAAATTATAGAGCTCTTTGGGCCCCCTAAGGGCTTGGGCCCCCCTGCATTGCGGGGTTTCGCGGTTCCTAGATCCGGCCCTGTCTATATATACATATATAAAGATGTGAACGAATGGTGTTTTTGGGCTCTGGGGACATCCAAAATGAAAAAGTAAATCGGTCCCGGGCCTAGGTCTTACCATGCCACCTACGGTAATAGCTACTTCCTAGGGAAATTCGCCAAAAGAAAAATGCTAGTATTTTTATTCTTGTAGAGGGGTTTTCATGTTTCATAGCAATGCTGGGCTTACCTAGGTTAATTTATACAGTAAATGAAAGCTTATATATATTTGTAAAGTATGAGCAAGATTTGTAACAAATGTCTTGGCTATATTTAGGATAACCAACCAAGAACTATCACTAGTTAAACGATAAAATATAAAATCCCGCCGATTCACCTTTATTTTATCGAAGTGATAATGCCGCAACGCCTAGGTCTCGCCTGAAGTAATGTGAAAACAATCCTGGGCTTGTGTCTAGCATTTTTTGACAATAAAAATGTAATTGTGATTTATACATATTAATAATTAATATTAATAATATTATTGGGAAGATCATATATTGTATTGGTTATCATTGTAGGAATAAATTAATTTTCACTAAACAGGCCTACACTGGTTCTGAGTTAAACTGTGTTAGTTTAAAATGTTGCTTACTTGACTATTTTTTTATACCAGATACAAACATTTTGGTTAATTATCCTTAAATTTAATATTGATTCTATTTGTTTTGACTTTTTTCAGAGGGAAATAACCTGCCACTGTGGACAGTGAGGAAGAAGTTCCACTCAATGGGGATGAAGATCTTGTTGAATAGATAACTTACTCTGTATTATTAAAGTAATCGTAAAATGAGGAATTTTTGAGGGAATTGTTTGTTGAAAGTTAAAGATACGAGGCATTTTCAAATGTAAATGTGTTATGTAAATCTTCAATATAAATCTATTTAGACAAATTACCTCTTGTTTTATTTTTAATTTCAAAGAATTCTGAATTACTGAGTACTGAATAGTAATAATATGTAAAATTGTAGGGTTGAAAACTATAATAACTCATGATTTCCTGCTCTTTTATAGAAATAAGTTCTTTATATGGTATCTCGCTTTTTTATTTAGAGAAGAGTCTTGGCATTTAACAACTAGAGGCATTGAAGTTATTAGATTATGTTGTGATTGTGAAAAATTATCTGAAATATTGGAAGATTATATTGTGTTATGCATCTCAACCTAAAAACTATGAAATTTGTATTAAATGTGTCAAGACTGTGTGAATCCTGGTAAAAGCATATGAATTAAATTTTCAGAAATAAAAAAGAGCTTGTAAGGGGCTAAAAAAGAATTATTTCTTGTACTCTTCAATTTATATTCAAATTTAATTAGATGTTTCCACTTTGTATTCAAATAAGATATTTCAAGTTTTATTAAAATTGGATCTTTTAAGTTTTATTCAAACTGGAAGAGCGGGAACTTCGACGCATGATTTTAACTTGAATCAAGTTTACAAACCCGATTCTTCAAGTTTGCAGATTTGACAAACCAAACTTATTTCAAGCTTGAATCAAGTATTTTTTCAATTTATATTTAGATTAGATAGTTCAAGTGTTATTCCACTTAGATGTTTCAATTTTTATTCAAATTAGAAAATTCAAGTTTTATTCAAATTAGATGTTTCAAGTTTTATTCAAACTGGAAGAGCGGGAACTTCGACGCATGATATTAACTTGAATCAAGTTTACGGACCGATCCGAGCAAACTTGATTCAAGTTTGCAGATTTGACAAATCAAACTTGTTTCAAGCTTTAATCAAGTATTTTTTGCTATCTGGGAATGTAGAAGCTACTTGGGTGTCTAAGATGAGATATTTCTATCATTGTTTGACAAATTTCAAACTTTTCTCCTTCAACTGAAATTCAAACTGTTCGCAAAAGCTAAAGTCTGTATTGTACATCAACCTATAAGCTGTAATAATTTTTTTCTCACAGTTCTAATTTGATGTATCTAATCATAACTTTAAATGGGTATAGATAGATGAACAATATTAGTGAAACATTAAACAAATTTTAGTGCTTGCCTGATTATCTACTGCACCATATGGACTAAGTTCGTAAAAAAAAATGCTCTACTTTGCCAGAAATCAGTCTTCCTTTACTGTAAAAGGATAAAACCCTGAAGTAGAGTTACTTATTCATTAATTTCTACTCTGATTTTTCCTTCTAGACATTTAACATCATTGGAGCAATCGGTGGCAACAGATGTAAGACTGATTTTGGCGTTGTTACGGCAGCAAGGAATGAAGACTTCTGGTTCCTTACCAGAAAACCGAGAGGTAAGATTAACTTTATATGAATGATGTAAACAAAACTAAACCTACAGTAACAATTAAACATACAAAATCTAGAATATTATTATTACAGCGTCTAACATTTTTTACTATTAATTTATCACACATTTACACATTTACCGACATTACAGAAATCACTTTTCTAAGCTCACTTTCCTAGGAGAACTAAAAAATTGTTGTATTGGTTTACCAGCCTCTTTGAACTATATCTTAATCTGGCTGGCTGAGTGGAATATGTCATTACGGTAGTGTAAAATCTTGGAAATGATAAAGATGAAGTCAGTTTACCAAAACATCAGTTCAATTGTCACAAAGCCCCATCCACATCTCTAATCCAAGTCAGCACTACAACACTAAAAATCTGCCTGGATAAGCTTGGAAAGTACACAGTTATTTATATTTACTCCATGATTCATTGTCTGAGGTTCATCCCGACAATCGCATCGCATGGCTGAATTCAGGACACATCCCCAATTTCACCTTCAGGAATTACACTTACAGTACCATCATCATTAGTCTACAAAACCGCGGCTTGCTTGTTGAGTTTGTTTGTTAAGGTTTTTCCAAAGATGTCTCGTCACCTAAAAACATTGGTTTGATATGTTTTACTCTTCAGGAGAAGCTGCATGCCACCTAAATTGCTGTTTTTTGATAAAGAAGGGAAATTTCTTGAAATGAATTCAAATTCTGTTTCAGGCATTGTGGTCGGAATCAAGTTCCAGACCAAGGCCAACCACAGTCCAAAGAAGCTCAAGCGTTCCACAAAATGGCCGTAGTATACATTCCTCAACCCCTCTGTGCAGGTGACTAACCAAACTAAATCATATATATCTAGCACTAAAATTGTTTCATCCCTTTATTAAATCATTTAACTGCACACACTTTTTGTCATAATGCAGTACCAAAAATTACTAACCTAACAAGGTCTTTACAATTAACTGCAGGGAAGTGAAGCAAAATTATAAAACGTTTAATCTTCGGTTCATGACCAGGTCATTGAACTAGCAAATACCCCTGCCGCAGTAAACCTGCAGACTAAGCCAATTTCCCTTGATAGGATTTTTGCTCAAATCGATATAAATAAATATGTCCTTGAAGTTGTCGGATTAATTCCCGATTTAAAAACAAGAGCAATTCAGAATGTAAGGAACGTTTCGTTCTGATGCCGCTAGGCGCATGCCGATTTTGTACATTTTGATGTGTGCACATACTCAGCAAATCAGTCCGCGTCCAGCCGTGACAATAGGAACATCCTCGCGCTACCCGTTTTTTTTTTTTTTTTTTGCAATTTCAGCATAAGATGTGGGCAGCGATTGAAAATCCCGCCAGTTGTGAGGTGCGGTCAGTGATACAGTTTTTTTTTTGCAAAAAACTTAAAACCGATAAGACATTTATCCGCAAGTGTGTGAAGTTTATGGAAACAACATAATAAATTAAAGTTCTGTGCAAAAATGGTGCATCCAGTTTAAAAATATCCAAACTGACCTCGACCAGTTCACTAATTACTAATAACTAATAACTTGGTCATCTCCTGATGACCACGTTGTAACAGAGTACTTAGACGGTGGAATCTCAGTAATCTCACCTTAGTTAAGTTGTTCAATATTTACATGGAGATTCTTTCACACTTTTCTAAAGCACCACTTCCAGTGCAAAAGCTTATTGTATCTCACAGTTTTATTATGATTTCTGTCCTTGTTTTCCCAGGGGTTCCACTCAAGAAGAACCGCAGCCGGAGGGGGCAGTGGGGGACACAAGATGGCCACCTTGTTCCTCCCCCCACCAACAGGCTAGTGTCATTCCACGAAGAAGTCAGTCTCAACCTGTAGACGTCTCACAGGTTAGCACTTAACCTGATTTTGTCTACAAACTGCTATTGATCAACTTGTTTCATTATCATAATAAAAAAGATTACCCACTGATCATTTTAAGTTTTTTTTAAATTTCAATTATACAGAGGAACCTCGATACAAATCTCCCTTGATAAAATTTTCCAATCTTATATATTTAAAAAATTTTGTATTTCTTTTCCGAGTTCGTTTGGCTCTTCTACCCGACCGATTTTCATGATTAAGGTCTCAATTTGAAGGTATGCACGCACAGATTTCACATCAAGCATCGGCATAGATTACTCTATATTCCCACTCGGCTTATACCTAAACAAAATTTGCTCCCCGTGTATTTCTTATAGGAGTTAAATTTGGTTTTTCTTTTCCAAGATCGTTTGGTTCTTCTACCCGACCGATTTTCATGATTGAGGTCCCAAATTGAAGGTATGCATAACAGATTTCACATCAAGCAACGGCATAATATTAATCTACAGTCCCACTCGGCTTATACACAAACGAAATTTGCTCCCCATGTATTTCTTATGGGTCATAATTGAGGTCTCAAATTGAAGAAATGCACGCACAGATTTCACATCAAGCATCGGCATATATTTATTTATCTACTGTATTACTCGATCAATAAACATAAATTAGATTTATTTTCAAATTCTTACTTCAATTTAAGATGTATTTTACCAGTTATAATCGTATTATAATCCTATATATTTTGGCCTAAGAACCTTTAGTGAAATACTGGCTTTCATTTAAGCTACCGGTATTAGTTATTCAAATCGGACAAGTTACAAACAAACACAAGGAGAACAACCAACATAAAAATGATTTTTATAAGGTTTTCTATGATTATAAAAATCAATAAGCTCAAGTATTGTTTATGTTTTTTTTATATGTTTTAGACTCGAAATAGCCAGTAAATTATAGGGATTAATTTGAGCTTTTGATTGTTTGAATCAGTAAAGTACAAGATACTGTATTACTCAATATATGATATTTATTTTGATATGATATTCATTTCTACACTGCGGAGCAGCACGGGTCCTCTAGTACCCTTAAATTTATACTACTTCTAATCACATGTTATTGCACACTTTGATGAAAAGTCAACCTTGATAACAAGCAGTGGCGTAAATAACACCCCCGCAGTGTGCCAAGTCATTCCTCCCAATCTGGTAATAGTACTTACTTTAAAAGGCTTAAAAGTGTCCTTTAATTGTTGTTCCCTGTGGTTTTGAATAAGTTTTCGCATCTTAGGCGTAGTGCTGTTTTTCTTGCTACCACCTTGATAATGATGTCGATGGGTAGCATGTCAAGCAGACAATCAAGGGCTGCTCTAGGACAGCTGCTTACTGCCTCAGTAATCATAAGACCAGCAAGTCTCTGAACTCCTGCTAAAGCTTTGACCTCTACAGTAGATTCCATCTTGGGCCACCACAAAAGTGAACCATGTCAAGGTCCCAAATTGCACAACAGATGCAGGAGTCTGGGCTGTAACCCCATGTTCCGCCTACCAGTCGTCTGCATGCCATTATGGACCACTTACCACGGTCAATGACTCTTTGAAGATGTGGTCCCCAGTGAAGTGATCTGTCCAAAATTACACCTAGATACTTCACCTGATTCTCGCAGCTAAATTTCGGTCCCCTTCAGTATTAGCGGTTTTCTTCTTCTTGTGAAGGGTACTATTACAAATTTTCTGGAATTAATGGAGAGCCCAACTTCAAGACACCAATGGTCAACCACCCTTAAAGCTCTGTTCATGAGATCAGTTATGGTTCCGTGGAACTTTTCAACCACAAGCATTGCAACATCATCAGCATAGCCTTATCAAAAGGCCTTATGACTTAAAATAAAAATGAGATACTCCCTTATGCTAATAACAGGTTTAAATTCACACAGGAATCAGTAGCAGCAAAACAACGGGATGTGTATATAAAAGCTCTGAATGGAATAGGAAAGGAATGGGGTGAAAATAAAAGAGTTGCCAACAAAATGTTGTTACCATACACATTATGCATATGTGCATATATACTGAGAGTGACTTTGATAACTAATTATGCTTTCTCTCACGTTGGCTTTTCAGGCATTCCCACAACAACAGCAAGATGAGGCTGTATGGGCTAGTTCTCAGCTGATTACGTCCAATGTTCCTGAAAGAAGGTAAAAATATCTTCCATTCTTGTTGAAGTAATTTTAGCGATTTCCCTATAGGGAAGAAGTTATTACCTTAGGTAGCACAGCAAGATCTAGATCCGGGACCGATTTACTTGTTTCATTTTGTTGTTAACAGGCCAAAAACGCTTAGTTAAAATTTTCATATATGTGTGTGGGTCCGTAAACACAATGACTCATCTAATTTTGATTTGATTTTAGTGAAATTCAGCCTGAACATGTGGAGCTGAATCCACTTGAATGAGTTCGTAAACCAGTAAGATCGGGTCATTAAAACGCGGTGTTATGGTATTTTCAATTTTCCAAAAATACTTTTTTTAGTAATAACATTACAATGCCCAATTTTCATTAAAACCGTCGTTTAGATTTAAAAACACAGGAGCGTTTTTGTAGGATAAAGGTTAATGAGAAAATTCCATAAAACTCTACATTGAAAATTCCCATATTGTTCATATGGAGGAAATGTAAACCGTTATAGTTTCCTTGTTTATAGACAAATTTTTTATTAAATTTGGCAAATTTATTTATTACATACTAGGCCTAATAATAGTTTACCAAAAACATGTTTCCTTCCCTGTAGCAGCAAACTTAAGTAGGCTCACTTAAATATAATGCTATTTAAATAGAGAATAACTTACTTCTCTGTGTTAGACCTAACAGTCTAATGATCCGACAGCACTGTTCAACCAAAAGTCCAAGCACAGTAGTCATAATATTAATTGACTCCCAAGTTGCGGCACATAAAAGTACGACTGTTTTAAAGATTTTGATTTCTTGATTGACCTGGTTATTTTTATTTTTACTCAAAGAAGTAAACTTTTTCCAGCTCAGAGTCAGATCCGTGGAGGTCTGACATCAGTAGTCGCAGACGACAGTTCCTCTCCAGCAGGAGCTCCGCCAGTGACGAGGCCGTCATGTTAGAGTTCCCCTCGGCAGTGACGGCCCCCTTGGCGAGGCTAGACTCCCTCCAGGAGCTGGTGAGATAACCATAAACTACAAGACACATATAGACCAACATAAAACATGATTGAGCACAATCAACAAACATTTCTAGATTTAATATTTAAGCTGCGTTGACTACCACATTTTGGCTTTAATACACCACGGACCACCATACATTTTTATTTTACACCACAAATATACAACTGTATATACACTGTAGTCAATAAACTACAGTGGTTTCCACAGCATATACAGTGTAATACATCAAATACCATCATCAGCACACTCAATACTAACCGGTCATTAAACATACTCAAACATATTCTTCAGATTTTGCAGTTAGATCCTTCTGCAGCATCTAAAGTCAATGAATAAACATTTAAAAATCATATTTTTCAGGATGGCCGTAGCACAAGAGTGAGTTCTTCATCTTCTGGCAACCTACAGGATTCAAAATCATCTCAAGTTTAGTGCGAGGAGTCCCCAGCTTGATTAGTACAGGACATTTTCACATATGCTCGGTTCATGGGAAATATGAGAACCAAACAGGAATATGTGCTTATTCTTGTCTCAGTTGGCTTTGTTAGTCATTATTTACTTCCTTTTTCTGTTCAGATTCTTCTTTTTTACTAGTCATGATCCTAATGGTTTGAAAATATTTTATACCGGGTTTTTTTACTTATGACCAACGATTGTGCCTTCACATGGGTTGCTACCATGCTAAAAGTTCTATATTGTATAAGCTGGCGCTATTATCCGTTTGGTGGCAATTGGCAATGTTGAACACTTATGCTAGAGTTACACGTGAAAATGGTGATGTGTAATATTTTGCAGTTTTAGTCCATATGTTTACTTTTGTTACTGTAGGTACGGGAAGTTATAGTCAAGTTGTAACGTAAAAGATTAGAAAAGCACACTGTTTTGTGTTGTTTAGTTGGAATACTGGAGAGTGTGACAAAAAATTAGTGCTGCAAAAAATTTTTTTAATTGCCCACTAGCAATAATTGATAATTTTTTAGCTATACAAAAGCAGAGTATTGTTATAAAATTATAATTATTTAGCCTATTTGTTAAAAAAAAACTAAATGAAATCTTATGCTTTTAAACTTTGTATTATATCATCCCTAATTATCAACTTAATCATACATTGAAATCAAAAAGATTTAATCAATTTATTTTTCCAAGTTTGTAAAACAACTACCTATTCAAAAAATATAAAATTATAAAAATATTTCACATCACTATTTTACTTTAAAGGCATATATTTCTCATGAACAGTTGTATATTTTTTGTACAATCCACAATACCTAACGATAATAAAGTATATAAAAATACTTTTAGACAGCTTTTCATAAACTTGTATATAAGAAAAATATTGTGACCCTTGCTACAACGATATGAGAACGCTTTCATTTTCACTATTGCATCATCGTGACTGTTCTTTTGCTATCCTATAACTGCATTTCCAGGAAAGGTGAGCTGACTGTAGCAGTCAGATGTATCTGAAAGGGTGTTTTAGCCAACCTCACTCGTTTATAGTTTATGAAATTTAGTATGGATTTTATCACAAACTCATCACTTCATGATTGTTTGATTCCTTTGGTCCTTTGGTGAATGGTTTATTTATACCAAAGACATAAAAGAGGAGTTTGGGCTCATATCTCTTGCATTTACGCCAGCTAACCATATTCAAAAGATCTAGTTTCTGCTCGTGTTTATCTTTAAGGAGTCTACTACTGGCAAGTAAAATCTCCAAAACATTGAATACTCCGGTATTATTCTAAAACAGTATTTTAATTTTATTATCATAGATCATATGTGTCTCACAGTCTATTTGGATCAGTCGCCACTGTTTGTATTGTAAACCAAATTATTGATCGCAATTTTAAACATTTATTTAACTTTAAGTAACCTGTGCTAGTCAAATCATTTAAGAGAACACATTCAATTGTGTATACTACACACCAAATTGTTAAGCATTGGAAGCAATTTATAGATAGCTTTAAAAAAAATAGGGGACAAGAAGTATCTGAGTTTTTGCTCGGTTGTTTTAACTATATGTTCTTGTGTTCTTGGCACTAAGGTGGGCGATTTCAATACTTAAAATATTATATCTCCACGGTAATAATTTCTCTTCTACTTGATCTGTGAAAAATACTATACTCACACACACACACACACACGAGTTAATTAATATGAGAAGAAACTTAGCTAACCATATTCAAAAGATCTACTCGTGTTTATATTTAAGGAGTCTACTGGCAAGTAAAATTTCCAAAACATTGAATACTCCGGTATTATTCTAAAACAGTATTTTAATTTTATTATCATAGATCATATGATACTTGTAGGTTTTGTGTTTGGTATGATAGTTTCTTACAGTCTATTTGGATCAGTCGCCACTGTTTGTATTGTAAACCAAATTATTGATCGCAATTTTAAACATTTATTTAACTTTAAGTAACCTGTGCTAGTCAAATCATTTAAGAGAACACATTCAATTGTGTATACTACACACCAAATTGTTAAGCATTGGAAGCAATTTATAGATAGCTTTCAAAAAAATAGGGGACAAGAAGTATCTGAGTTTTTGCTCGGTTGTTTTAACTATATGTTCTTGTGTTCTTGGCACTAAGGTGGGCGATTTCAATACTTAAAATATTATATCTCCACGGTAATAATTTCTCTTCTACTTGATCTGTGAAAAATACTATACCCACACACACACACACACACGAGTTAATTAATATGAGAAGAAACTTACTGTACAGGTACCATGAAAAATATTTAATTTAGAAACAACGGGTTTCTTTTTCTTGATATTTTTGTTGTAACATGAATTGACTTTTAAAGTAAATCTTATTTCAAAACTTTTAAACAAGGTATTAGACAATCACGTTAATATAAATGAATACATATTATTTTATTTAAAGTGTTAACAACATATTATTACAATGAGGGTAATACAGTAGTATCAATTAAACTGAATTTATATTGGTTTAAATTGAAGAACTCTGAAATCTGTTTTCAAAGTTATGATGGTGCTATTTAAACAGTTATTACCGTTTTTTTGTGATCAACTCAAGACTTATACTATTATTATATTATTAACTGCATCTGACAAAATTACATGTTTTCTTTAAGTAACCTAAAATTAATAAAATTCTCTTCCAAACCTAGGCCCAGACCTGTTCATAATCATTTGTTTTTTTCTCTATAGGTTCAACAAAATCCTTAATAAGTATAAATGGCCTTTATTAATTGAATGACTAGATTTAATTATAAAATTAATTGTAGATAGAAAATCAAAAAATATTTTTGAAATTTAAATTCACTTAGTGTTTGGTGGCAAGAACATTGATGAATCAATAAGAGTGTTTTGGTTGAAAAGTGTATAATGGAAGTTTTGTAAAACAATGCACTTCATTTTAGATGAGCCCTCTTCTTCCTTACATATTGAAACAACTTCATAACTCTAGAACTGTATAAACAAATTTGGCATAGTATGTTGATCTGGGCCTGTGATAATAGTTTCTGAATTTAAATGTATTGAAGGAACGTTAACTATTATTATGGACAAGGATTTAGAAACAAAAGCTTAACAATCTGTTAGAGAAAATATATTACCGTATGCAAATAGGAGGAAAATAGTGATTTTACAATAACTATAAAAGTGTATGTTATAATTTGTGTTATATAACATGTTATGTTACATCTAGTTTAGCTTAGTAATTCATTAATTCATTGTTTAAGACAATGTAGACAAATACCATTACATCTTGTGTTTAAATGTGGCAAATAATATTTTATAATTCTACTAAATATAAGAGCTGAGGTTGTGTTTGGTATGATAGTTTCAAAGACTAGACAAGGCCATGTTTTAGATAGGGTGCACTTCTTTGCACAAAATATTTACATATCATTTTCATTTTGATGGTCCCATAGTTGTAATTGGTTGTTATTTTGATTGTTAGTTTGGTTCTTTATAATTCCATGTAATATATAACTTTACTTCTTAGGTATTAAATACTGTCCAAATGCTTTTGTTTAGTGTTAGAGAATTATGGGTGAGGATCTACTAGTCTACGAGGACGTTAAAACGTTTTTACCGATTTTTATTGTAATTAAAAGTTATTTTATGTAAATAAATGTAACAACCACCTTTTAACATTTAAAAGTGGTTTAAAGATGTGATATTAAGTATATCTCGAGTTATTGATTATGTTACTCTTTACTTTACAATGATTTCACAAGTTGTAACACTCACAGGATACAATGTTATAGTCACATGTCATGTTTAAAAAATTTTTTATCAATCATTTTCAGGTAAACACAAATTTCTTCATCTATTCTTATGTAAGGACGAGTGCGATATTTTTCAGCAATTCCACGCTAGAGGCAAATACAGCTACAACAAAAATTGCTTCATAGATTTAGACACTAGCATAGGTTTTATAAAGTTACAATTAGGATGTAAAGTAATAATCGCAACATCATGAGTTTAGCATTCGTTCGTCAAGCCTTATTTTAATTTTTATACAGAGTTTGCAGATGTAAAGCGTTTTTTATGGAATGTATAGTGTCTGAATTTTCCACACACTGACAAAGTAACTGACTTTTAAATCCGTGCAGAACAATTCGCTAACATTTCTGTCACATTACAGTGTTGGTGCTTTACCTTTTTATAAAATATGGTGTCTTATCAAGTAAAAAGACTTAGAGTAATCAATTGTTTCATGTAGTTTGTATTTATCTTGTTTTACTTCTTCACATACACCTTTATCCTCTCACTCAAAGTTTGATCCCAAATCGGGGTTTTCCAATTTATTGCTGTCAGATGAGTAGCAAAAGTTTTTTTTTACACTGTTAATATCGACTGCCTCTTGCCAAAAGTATTTTATTTTCAATTTACATAGTAAGTTATTGCTTGCAAACATTTGTCTGGACCATTTAAGCGGTTGGTAATTATGTTATTGTGTACAATATACAGCTGTTATTATAATCTCCGTAAAACTTAACCAACAAAACGTGTATTCAAGAATGGACCTAAAACTTAAATTATTATTTGAATTTAGGCCTAATATTTTTATCAGACATGAGATTTATGAATTGTTGTAGTTCCATTTTTTCTTTCTGTTAAATTTATTGACACTAAAAATAGCAAAGTTATTCACTACCTAGGTTTTTAACAATTACCTAGATCATCCCAAGCTTGAGGCATGTCTTTGTAATGTGCCTTCAGTGTAAAAACATTTTCTGAAATATGTATAAATAATCCAGATGTAACTTTTTGTTGCTAGAAGTTATATCAAGTTTTGATATATATTTCTGCATTTGGCTGGCTAATTTGACAGTAATAACATGGATGATTTGTAAGTTTTACATATTTAATATTTGTAAGGATTTATCTCACATTCTAATGTTGTGTTACAGAATACTCTCAGCTTGTTGAAAGTGCTTACCAATTTTTTTTTACGTCAGGTTGAAAAGACACTTTTTGCCCGTGTGATGAACTATTTTTTAAGTCATATTACATCATTAATTAACAAACTAAGCTAGGAAACAATAGTATATTTCATAACAAGAGTAGAAAGTGAGTCATTATTTGAGACCATGTTTGATGTTCCAGGAGCATTGGGAATATTGGGAAAACCACCAAATTGTCATATAATTCATCAACTTTCATCAGAGAGTTGATAAAAAACATTTAATGAAATTAGTTGTGTTGAAATACCCACCACAGTGGGCTTGTGCTTGACTCAGCGTAACAATAATGTACATTTCTTGATATGGCACCATTAAGTTTGAGGTACCTAGCCTAGTAACATATTTCTCTGAAATTCTGAAGTGTCTTTTAATCTATAAAATTAGATGCTCTTCTTTTAAAAATTAGAATGTGAAATAAATTCTCATTATAATAATTGTTATTGTTTTGCTATCAACCTGTATGTTAATTTGTTTAGACTTACTGTAGACTACTATAATGAACCAGTTTTATATACATACTATGTAATTACAGGTTTTACAAAGCCTTGTACATATTATGTTTGTATAAAGATTTAGTTACAGTTTATTTTAATGAGAAACAAAATCTTATGTAAATTTGAACAATTTGCTATTGTATTGATAAACATTGTTACCGCTTGTATATACTTGTTTTTTTTCTAATTATGTACTTATTTCATTTTGATTACACGTTTGATCACTCAGCCAGGAAAGTGTTTTATTTTATCACCAATGTGGTTAAATTTTACAGATTAACTTTACTCTAGGACAAGGTGTTTCTTTGTACCATCTTTCCAGGACAAACAGCTTACAAATAACATAGATCTCTATTACTACAATTACAATTGATTGGATCACTTGCTGTAGTCCTCAGAACTAAGTCTGACCATCTACCATTGAACCAGCCGCTACATCCATACACTTCATTTTTGGGCTTCTGTGTTTTCATTAATAAAAACTTATGTATCTTTATTGATGTTGTAACCTTCATAAAAGTATGGAGATTTTGGTATAGTTTTACATATATGTGTGTCTGTTAGCACGATAACCCGAGCAAAAATGATCCGATTTTGATGAAATTTGGTAAAAACGTATAGACCTACGTTTATTTGAACGAGTTCGCGAACCAGCATGATCGGACTATGGGAACGGGGGTTTATGGGGGGTTTTATGGGGTAAAAATAGGGGTTTCCCAATGTTGACCCTAAAAACACAACATTTATCAATTTCTTTCCAAACCATTTTGTAGAGCTTTAAAAAAGAAATAATTTTGTATATTGAAGCGTTGTATGTCCTTTATGTGTTACCATGTTGTTGTAGCATTGACTATTGGATACAGAAGAAGACATCCTATCTATATGGATCAGCTGTCGCCAATTTTTTACTAAAAACTAATGTAGTTGTGTGAGCCAGTCACAGATTTCTAGTATCTAAAACTCTATTTCGTACTTTATTTTTTATTACTGACATAGTAACAACATGACAGCACACTCTGGGTCGTAACAGTTGCTATAGCTCATAATAAATCATTCCATCAGTTTGACTCGGTAAAAACCAAAAAAACCATCGTGTAATCGGCAGAAATTTGTAGTACGAATAGTGTTTTTTCCCTCTGGGGACATCAAAATGAAAAAGTAAATCGGTGCATATGGAGGGTGTTTTTGGCCTTTGGGGACCTCAAACAAAAAAGTAAATCGGTCCCTAGTCTAGGTCTTACCATGAGACCTACGGTAAAAGCTTATTCCCTATATGGGAAATTTGCTAAAATACACAAATACCATTAGCTACCTCCAAACAAAGCAGCTGTTACATTACAAAACTACTTGCGACGTTGCCACTTCAAAAGCCGCGGCCGTATGTAATTAAAGGCTCCTTTCCTTTTATACTCTTTCGACGGTGGGCATACCGCATGTTTGTGCGGCGGCCATGGCATCGGTGGGGGTATCAGGGCTACCAACTTAGGAATTTCTATATTTACTTCAATCGTAGTAGGATCCGTCATTTTACATACACAAAAATCGCAAACTGATGCTCAGAGCCAGTAAATAAAAACAAAATCACCAACCACATCAGCAACAGAAAGTGAAAATGGGGGACTGGGGAAGGCAAGACATTACCGTGTTGGGCTGAGTTTGTTTTGACATGTTTTGATCAGTTGGTAGCACTTGACATCGCTGTTTTTCCAGGTGCACATTTTATGACCAACACAGTGTTGACATTTTTTCATAGCCATATCGACCAATCGATTGTCACCCGACCGAACAGATCGTTTTCGATAACCAAACCAGTCAACCAGTGATCGACGTCGACGACAACCAACCATCGGTCCATCCATCGACCGTTTTCTGCTGATGTCCCGCCAAGCAAGAGCAAAGCCAAAGCCAATCCTCGCCTCCTAAATTGCACTCCTATCATAAAAAATATTTCTTGGGCTAGCCTAAGTTATTATTAGCACATCCAAAATATATGACTTATGCTTCTGAATTGTTATGTGTGTTCACTTTGCTGTTGGGTGGGATTGTTCAGTTAGTTATGAATTGGTTAATCCACGATGAACTAATTTTAAGTCGATCCAAGAGGTACCTATTATTGAGTGTTACTATAACAATAATTTGTGATAATCAATTTAATATTTTGATTTTCTAATAGCACAGAGATTAAAAAAATAAATCAATAGGTCTAGAGTAAATGAAAAACAAAATAAGAAATACTCATTAAAGTTTATCTACACAATTTATTATACACAAAAACAGTATGCATATATCTATTCTAAACATACTTGTAAACAACATCCTTTCTATCACTCACAGTCTGCAGTTCTAGTTTTATAGGACACTGCAGCCAATAGCTCAAAAGCTCTTCTGTGTAACCAATAAGAAAATACATTTTTCTAGGAGGTAAAGATCTACTAATAATTCCAGCTACTCGTATCATGTTGTGTTGTCGTTTTATGATTATTTCCGAGAGGAACAAGTTGTGCCAAGTCCCAGTCACGAATCGGCGAATGAAAACATCTTCAACAGCTGTCTCAGCAGGTCTTAAACCTCCAACAAGGTTAGCTGAAACAATAGTCTGTTAAATTATTTAATTTAATTATTTTATACCCCTGATGCAGCAAACCTGGAGACTAAGCGAATTTCCATTTATGTGGCTACATTTTCACAAAAATATTCCCTTAAAGTTGTCAGATTTATATCCTATTTATAAGAATAATTAAAATAACTTCTTGATCAGCATCGTACGTATTATTAAATTATCTGAAAGCACAAAAATATGTCAAATAACATCTATATATATAATACGCTAAGCCGATTTTTGTGAACAGAACTCCTCCCACATTTTTGGACCGATTTTGATGATTAAAGTGTCAAAAAAATGGCCCTGATCTGTAGTTTTGCAAAGTCTTTTTCGTTTTTTGATATCTTTATTAGTTTGGGCAGTATCTTCCATCAAAGTTGGGTTTTCTCCCATAAGATTAACATGGGGGAATCTTAATATTTAATTGGAAACTTTGTCTCCACTAATTTGAGAGAACGGCTGGGCTTAGAAACTTGGTAGAGGTGTCCAAAGAAAGGTCTTGGCCTGTAGATGAGTTATCAAAAGAAAAACGAAGTAAATTCGCTCAGGGCTCTGCCCCAGAAGCCTTTAAAGATTCCTCCACAGATTTGTTTACATTTTGGCCATGTGGATAATATTTTTTAATGAAACAGCTGTTAATTTTAAAATTGTATTTCAAACAACACACATCATTTATCCAGGAGCTACTGAATTGTCCAAAAGAAGTATTTGCAATGTTATTTTCTGATTTTAAAATTGATTTTCTTCCGTATCATGTCATGTTTTGCAATATAACGTTCCATTACGAAATCAGTTGAAAATACTTTTATCACAGTAACTCTTACAATTATTTCTTATTGAACTATCTTATCTATTTTACGGGTTGGTGTACTTTTTCACACATTTTCCCTATATTTTATCATTATTCTAGACAGATCATCATAGGTTCATGAGATTATTGTCATACATGTTTTCATCATTGGAAAAATCTTTGATTGTGTAATACAATACAAAATAATACAAGTGATGAAGGGCACCCATTTGAGCCGTGTCCATATTTTGTTAAACTAATAGTAGTTTACAGCAACTGGATAAAACATTTTACAATATTTATGTAGAAATATGTGGATGATTTAGAAAGTCATCAAGCCGGAAAACTGCAATATACTGCAGACTTTTAAGGGAGGTTACTTTGATGTATTCATTCAGCTTAAAGAAAACATAATGTAGATATGTATTCAAACAAAAACCATTTAATTTATCTCTAAAAATATATTCTCAAAGTGCACCGAACAGCAGCCTAAAAAAATACTACCTATTTAACTTATCCAGATAGTTACAAAATGCTCAAACTCGGATTGTGACATTTAAAATTTGGCTTATATTTTTCTTAACCAACAGATTATTCATCTGCAGAAGAAGTTCATTATGCTCTTATCGTGTCTAATAACATCCTAACACAGAAACCTTGCCCAAAATGGTACCTATCTTCACAAATTATTTGCAGTGGCCTATATTACGGACCGTGGCCCACTGGGTTGGTGAGATTATTGAAAATAACAATACACTTTGACTGTAAAAAATGGCAAAAATACTATAGTTGTGGACAGGGTAACTCCGGACCAGGAAAAGGAGACCTACCTGCCTCGGCTATTGTGGAGTTGCCCGACCGACCGACCCTAATTAATGTCGCTTGGCTGCGCTCAACGAAAACAACAACTAGATACCCAATACCATAAACTTAAGTTAATTTATTTACAAAAATTATTAATATTGATTATCATATAATGTTTTGTTTTAAAATGTCGATCATTTTGATACTAAATTTGATGTAAATCGGCCAATTTTGACCATTTGTGCCGCCAAACTAGTTTTTCTTTTATACTATGTAACTTTTATTATTGTACTATATTTACAAAAGAATCTAAAATTGCGGTTTTGTTGTTAAAATAAAGCTCGTGTACTTTCCATTTGCTCGAACCATTTAAAATTAAAACTCAAACTGTATCCACTATGTTGCTCTCGCTCATTTCCGGATTAACGTATCGTAATATATTAACGACTTAGACAGTATTTGGACTTGGGATGAGTAACGAATTTTGACACTTTGTAACGTGACTCAGGTTTGTGATGATTCATTCGAATGCTTGTGGTGGATTCATTGTTCGACATGTAGAGTATTTGGACTAGGGATGAGTAACGAATCTTGACACTTTGTAATGTAACCGATGCTTGTGATGACTCATTGTAACGGGACTCATTATAGCGATTGAACCAAACAACCCTTATCTTTGGCGACGAACTCCTTTTTGGTTAGTTAGTGGTTTTCATTTGTGGTGTGAACAACTATGGCAGAACCGACACCCGCGTCTCCCGAAAAGTATGTGACGAGTCGAACTCATAATTCGTATTCAAGTGGTGAACGGCGAATTATTTTACACGTTTACGGAGTGCTTCGCATGGAAAATCCGGAAATGAGCAAGAGGAACATCGTTGATAGAGTTTGAGCTTTAACTGGTGCCAGCAGATCAACCATCGAACAGCTTAAAAAGGAATTCGACAACGGACCATTGGTTACCCCGGGAAAAA